CTTAATGCTTTTATCGTCTATCGACAAAGCACATTATCACCTTCTAAGAATTTCAACAGTTATAATATCTCTCCGTTTCATTATCTTATCTCTTCTTGCGCTTCTTTGTGCGGGAGGTTTCTGCATGCACAGGAATGGCAAGAAGGGCTTCGCGGGGGGGCAGAGGGAGGGTTTTCTCTGCACAGGTGATGTCTCTCCTGGAAGTTGCGGCAGTTGCAGCGGAGCCACCCGTTGGGCTGGCGGCGCTGCCTCCGCCGTGGCCGTAGCTCCCGTCCTCGTCTAAGCATCCCTGTTATTCCAGGAGCTAACGCAGCACAAGCGAGCGAGCTGTTGGTGGGGTTTTTTTTTGCAGGATTGAGTTTTCCTCCCTGTAGATCCTTTGCAGAGCTGTCTCGCCGCAGGATGGGGCACGTGGCAGGGCCGGCACAGGGCAGGTCCTGGAGCGGGACGGGGCCATGAGGGGAGTGGGACAAGGCCTTGCAGGGAGCAAGCTGTGCTCTCAGCCACATCCCTTCCCTCTTCCCAGCCGCATCCCTTCCCTCCTCCAGGGCAGCCCGGCCCCAGCGGTTGGGCTTCCCGTGCTTCGGGGGGCACCGTGCGGCCTGCTGAGATCCTGACACCAGTCACATCCCAGGCCGCACTTCCTCCTGCGGGAAGCAGGAGAGGATGCTGGATCGCCGCGTGCCCGGGCTCTCCTCAGGACCAGCTCAGCATCTGGCTCCGCCACAGCCCAGAAACCTTCTTGGTGGCTCTTTCTGGCCATGGCCAAGGCAGCCTTGTGTGGCCCTGGGGACACGTGAGGCGGGAGGTGACACTGCCTCGCAGCCGGCCTCGTTAGCCAGGACCTGGAGACACCGGGATGCCAGTAGGCCGGGGGGAAAGGGAAGCCCCGCGTCTTTGCCGTGGAGCACGGGGACACGGTGTCTGCAGGGTGTGCAGCCACGTGTCGCCGAGCAGCGAGGTGGCGGTGGCGTGTGCAGGGCAGCGCGTGGCACGGGAGCCCATGGAGCTTCCAGTGCACCGCCACCACACATGGGTTAGGGGGTTTCCACGGAGTGTGGAGGAGAGTGGAAGCAAAACACACAGGAAGCAGTCATAGGCAGCATTAGGAGGAAGGAGAAATGATTTCCCATTGCTGGGCTTGATCAGATCCCTGTTGCATCAAGACAAACCATGTTCTGGAGAACTTGAAGGCCATCTACTGGTGAAGTCTAACTTTTCTTTTTTCCTATTGCAGATTTTTTTTTTTTTTTTGCATCAGGGAAAAGCACGTAGCCAAGTGTGAGCTGCAGAGATGCATGTGTTCAGTTCTAGGTGGAAATACCACAGGTGACGTTTTGCAGATGACCCTAAATGCTCACAGCCAGACAATGATGGTTTCATTCATTTCACCACACGGGCTATAGGTGTTGCTAATGCATAGTGGAGAAGGCAGGCAGTCTTCTAGGGTTTACACTAGGGTAATGGTTTCTATAATAGTACAGAAATTGCACTGTTCTAGACCTTCCTATTTGTTAATTTTAATCCCTCAAGTCTGATGGCTCCGTAGTGATTTGATACATTCTGTAGTTTCCCTGGGATGTGGTGCGAGATGTCAGTTCTGTAGCTAAATCCCACCTTGAGCCTGAGCTCGTGGGCAGTAACCTGGGAATGGGGAACTGGCAGCTCCTCCTCTGGGCAGCCCCACAGCTCCTGCCTGCTCGTTTGCTTCCTCTGGGCAGTCTGGAAGGGGCACTTAAAATCAAGATACCACAATATGTGGAGGTTTTGTTTGTTTGTTCTGTTGTTTTAATTTCATTTTGCATGATTTTAAAACCGCATTAAAAACAAAACCTTTATGAAAATAAAAACCTATGAATAAATACTGGCTTGTTTCCGTTCTTGAATATTATGGCTTGTTTGTCTGGTAGATCCCATATGGCAACATGTTCTGGAGCTTTGTACTGAGCAGAGCCAACTGGTAGAACCCCCTGGTGCTTTCAAAGGTACAAAGCACCGTTTAGAGGCCTTTATTTATTTTATGTGTCTCTATGCTGTTGAGGAGGTTGTCATTTAGAGTCACTTGGACAGTGCGAGGCCAAACCAGAGCTTTTATTCTCTGCTGGGGTTTGGGTCTTTTTCTGCCAGTAACTGGTTTTCCCCCAGCATCACAGCTGCCGCTCCGGCTCCCAAGCTCCGGGGACGGAGGAGGCTCACCTTGGAGGCGGCTCTCAGCTATCATATAAAACATATATAAAACAAATGTGTGAGTTTCTTGTGCTGGGTAGTACGTTATTTAGTGCACACTGCTGAAGTGGGAAGTACGAGGCCACCTTTTCCTAGCCAACGGCCACCGTTCTCCTCAGTGCCCCAACGGTGAAGCTCACGATGCAGTAGCTTGCCATGGAAGATGGCCCTGCCTGCACTTTCTGCTGCTCCCTGTGCCCTTTCCCTAGCTTGGAAGAGATTAGCCTGGCGCTTCCATGAGGAGGGAGTGATGGGATGCAAGAGCAGCAATGTTGTTTCCTTTACTCCATCCTTGCCTACACAAACACCAGGGCTGCTCTGAGCAGCAAGGCCACTCTCCTGAACGTGACAAATAGCATTTTATGAGGTGCTGGTGGCTTCCAGGCTCCTTCTGCTCAGTGCTGGAAGCTGAGGCAGCTTCGCCATCTTCATCCTCCTCCCATCTAAACAAGCCCAGCTCTCCAGGGCCTGAATGGCCAATTGCAAAATAAGCTTTTAAGACAGCTCATAAATCATGTTCGGCAAAACAATGAAGCACAAATATTTGGTTTTTAAGATAGAAGTTTTCTGGACCTGTGCTCTGGCTTAGGTATCTTCAGGGTTGCGCATGAAGATTTGATTTCCGTGTTTACTTTTTATTTACTTGGTGGGATGTTAAAAAAAAAAATCTGGAGTGGTGAGACTTATCTTAGTGAATCATCTAAAGCAAGTCTCTTATTTGCCCTGAGATTGCAGATGCTTAAACGGGACAGCCAAGCCATTTCCATGACAGCAAAACGTGGCTGTATTGCTGTCACCTAGGGAAAGTGACAGTCATCTTGCTCTCTTGGAGACTACTTGGACCCTGGTTAGTTAATGTTGGTATTATAGACCTCTCTCCAGTCTTTCCTCTGTCTCAGAGATTCCCTGCTTGCCAAATTAAATGCATCATATTGTAATAATAAAAAATAATAAGAAACAAACTGAAAATTTCTCAACTGAAGATGAAGTGTAAATGCATTTCAAGTGTTAAGAGAAAAAGAGGGCTCTCAGAGAGTAATCCAATATTCTTTTTTTTTATACCTAGTTTTTTGTTTTTTTTTTTAACTAGGGTTGTATTATGAAAATATTCAAACGAAGGGAGAAATGGGCTACCATTTGGACTATCATAAATTTAAGGCTTAAAGATTTGTCATGTAGCAGATCAGAGTGTGAGGAAAGTTACTCTGCTGATGCTGTGAAAGCTCAGGTGCCAAGTTCTAACCCAGTATAAATTGTCATCACCAAATTTCAGAAAATACTGAAAATGAAGTTACTGCCAGAATAGCTATAGCTGTGACAGCACTGACTGGTGCAACAGAAGGCTGAATATTAATGTTAACATGGGAACTTCTCAGAAGATACATCAATATATTTCTTTCAAATGCCATTCTTAGTATTTTAGCTTCCCCAAAGGTACATGCCTGTTTCTCATCATGAGCACATTCAGGCTCCTGTTATATCACTTATTTGCATTTGGCAATCACGAATTATTTCAGGTTCTGAGAACTTGAATCTTAGGAGGGTAAAGGAGCTCACTGAGGAATCTCTTGATCATTTACCTTGAGTATCAATGAACCTGGGAATGTCATGGAAGTCCCAGAAAACTTGAGGAAGGCTGATGTTGTCTCAGTATTTAAAATAGGTGTAACAAGTGAACAGAGAAAACATCATGCTGGTGCTTTAACTATAGGTGAACATGAGTTCTGCACAATATAACCATAATGGAGCTGATAAGAAGATCAACCGATAATGATTTATAGCTGAATCATATAATTAATTAATAGGAGTCAATGAAGATTTTTTAAAAAAGGATCCTCACATACCACCTGGATAACATTTTATGACACAAGTTTATCTAACCACGGCTAGTGTATTGTCATAGTTAACTTATTTCACACTTAACTTTTAACATTTAATTTAGACCTATTCAACATTGTATGCACTGTATTTGAAACTCAAAAAATAAGTTTCAACATTGCAGTTTTAGTTATAATGGTAATTACAATTTTAACTACAAATTTAATTGCAATTGTAGTTGTAACTAATTTTAATTAATCCCAGCTTTATTTGGGATAACTGACAGGTCCATTACTATATTGAATATCTTGAATGATCACATGCATTTCCACAGGGATTTTTTCTTAGCTCCATGATGTTAAACTTTCTGATTAATTGGTGTCCTGGAAGGAAATGACATTAAATAGTTTGCAGGTGACAGACTGAGAATTGTTAAAAAAAGCAGTGGAAAAATCATGGATACGGGGTGATTTGGATACCTTAGTAATCTGTGTGCAAGCAAATGATGTGTTTGCTCCAACAGGGGCAGTCCAGATCTGGGTACTAGAAATATCTTTTAGCAAAAGGTTTCAAGATTAAAGTTATGAAAGAGCAATTATGAAGTCATGTGTAAAGTTCTGAACAAAACACAGGTTAGTGAATTTGGGGTTGGACACATGTAAAATAGAAATGAAGCTCAGATAAAGAGATAGTTGATTTTCAGAGGATTATTCCAAATGATCATGGTGATTTTTTCTGTCAATAAACATTTCTAAATCAATTATTTTGGACTGTAAAACATACTGTATTCAAACAGGAACTATTTTAAAGAAGTGCTGTCATCTGTGGTGCGGAAAAAGAAATACTCAAGCAATCATTAAGGTCTCTTCTGACACAGTGATCTGTTTTGGCGAGCCCAAGAGATACATCATGCTCTTGATTCATTTTTTTTTTTTTTTGCTTCTGTTGTTCTGCAGTTCCATTTCACCGTTCAGTATTGAGAGCACAAGACGTCAGAGAAGGTCTGAGTCTCCCGACTCCAGGAAGCGGCGCATCCACCGGTGTGACTTTGAGGGATGCAACAAAGTATATACGAAAAGTTCTCACCTGAAGGCCCACCGAAGGACACACACAGGTAAGACATCACTGGCACTGTGTTCTGGGGTTGAAGGAGGTCATTTTTGGCTACTTTAGGACACGCTGAACTTGTCATCTGTCTTACACAAAGAGTCAAAGTTCTCTGTATAACCAACCAATGAAGGTGTCTGTGGTTGCATCAATATTTTCCTGCAGAAACTATTGCAATATTTTCCTGCAGATCAAGAGCATGCTTTAGAACTGAATTTCTCTGTCATCCCTACTTCCTGTGCTTTGCTTTGGAGTACAAGAGCAGTCTTGGCACAAACTGGCCTCCTTTCAGATGAAATTGAACAGAAAAGTGTCCCATCGGACACATCTAATGGACTTCTACCAGCAATGGGTAGTCAGGGCATAGGACTGACCAAAGCTAGTCCAAAGAAAACCATGAAGAACAGCATATAGTGTGGGCATGGCTCTTTGACACCATTTGACTCCACAAATGTGCTCTTTTTTGAGCTACTGCTCTCCTTTGTAGACATAGACTTTGAATGGTAGATGCTGCTAAATGCCTTCAGCTCAATCCAAGTCTAAACCTAGGAGTGCAGGATTTCTTTCTGGAGGCCTTCAGCGCTAACTGGCAAATACTGCAAAGGGAACTCAGTCAGTTTATGAGGATGAAGAACATGACATCCCTGTAGTAGAGGTACAAGAGAGGTACCCACGTTACATGAGCTAGTTCCCATTTAATGTTGCTTAATATTTGCTTGATACTTGGTGTTCTCCATGAATTTATGGGCTGTTGCTAGTCCGTATGACATACATGTGAGGGTAGCTGAAACAGTGATGTGTAAATATTGTATTTTATTGTGGATAAACTCTAAAACAGCTGCTTGAAGTCATTAAGAACCAAAAGAAAGAATAAACATAGCTAAAAAGGCAGTAGACTGAGCACTGTGCTTCAGTGCTGTTTCTAGCTCTGCTATTGAAATTAAATTCATTGGTCCTTCTGCTCTTGTTGCACTTCACCCTTTTTGTAGCTCCTTGGAGAGAAGGTGGTGTTTGCCCAGCATGTCACACAATGGTAGTTTTTTGAGAACTGCTGGTGCTTTCTGTGGTGTGACATACTCTAAAGAGTATGAGACCTTACTTAGAAAATACAATGAGGGCCTTTCTATTGCAAATGAGGCCCTGTCTCCATCACGCTTTCCAATATGTCTTTTGATTGTTAGGACTTTTGTTGGGAGGAATAGTGAACAAGGCTCCATCCTAATACCTCATATAAACCAATTTCTGTAAGGTAAGAGTCCCTTCTTTAAATGGCAGAACTATTCTGGTGATCTAGGAATGCAGTTAGGTTTTCCTCCAGGTCAGTTTTTCTGGTTTCTTCACATCCTCCCAATACTGCTTGTGTTGCTTTCTTTCTCTTAATTTGTATTGTCTTAATGTTCTTTTTTTTTTTCTGTTTTCCTTCTTTTTTGGGTTTTTTTTTTTTTCATTTTCAAACTGGTATTTTGTCCCTTTCTTACCCTGGTATCTATTTTGTCTACCGTCTACCTTAGCCCTGTTCTCTGCCATTCTTGTTTTCCTTCCAGTTTTACCCTAGTCTAACCCCTTTTCTTCCCCTTGTCCTGCTTCCTAAATAATTTCCTCAATTGTTGCCTATCTTGGCCTTTGAGCGTTTGAGTATGTGGCAGATTAGAAGGCAGAGAGCCAAGCAGAGTAGGCTTTGGGGGTTGGAAATGGCTTGTATCCCAGGGAAGTTAAGATGTTCGAGGCTGTAAAACTGGTGACCAGCCCAAGAGGATAGAAAAACATAATGGAAGAACCTGGATTATAGAAGAACTGGAAGAACCTCAAAGATGTCACTGATGTGTTAGCACAGAAGTATGAAGCACTGTAAGTTAAATCCTAGCAGACACTGGGAGCTGGTGGTGCCACTGACTCCCCTCCGGGCTTTTCTGGGAGCCTCTATTAGACGCGCGACCTCCGGACGGGCTCACTCCCATGCTCCGCGCATCCCGGCGTGCGTTAGAGGCTCTGCACCCTGCAGCTCAGCGAGGCCCTGGGGCGCTCCAAGCTGGGCACCAGCAGCTCCACACGGTGCCAGGACTGCAGCCCGGGCAGCCGCCACTGTCCCACAGCGCCAGGGGAGCATCCGTGCCCGCGCTATCCGCGCGCCTCCCCTCGCGCCGCCGCTCGCCCGCGAGGTGTCTGCGCTCAGCTATCTGTCTGGGATCTCTCCTCGGCGGGCAACACTGGCATTGGCAACGCTGGCATTGGCAACACGGGGATTGGCACCTCTGGGGCACGTTCTTCCCTCTGCAGGGAGACAGGGTGAGAGAACCGGCGTGCCAAGGTGCTGTTCCTGCAGCACTGAGTGCATGGGAAGGCTGGTCGCCTACCTGTTCGCTGGGCGAGATGCGTCCCCACCCCAACAGGCTGCAGCCTAAAGCACTTCGTAGTAATGCTGCTTTATTCCTTCAGGGGGAAAAGAAAACCTAGCAGGAGAAATAATAGCACCGAATGAAAAACCTTCATAAAGTGCTTCCCTGTTCACCGCTTTATGTTGTCGTGGCTTCATGCCTGCTGCTGGGGAAGAAATTACAAGTAGGCTTGAGAGAAGGTGAATGCCGAATTTAGCCAGGAGATCCAATGAGAAAATCTATACTGTGCTGTTAGGGGGAAATGTGTTTCACAGAGCACTTTTTAGGTCTTGATAAATGATGTAGCACTGACCATAAATATACCCTATGTATTAACCTCATCTTATTTTTTTTTATCTTAACCTTTACTTTTGCTTTAGGCAAAACGAGTTAATTATTCACGTATGACCCACGGTAATTAGTGTGCAGTTTTGGATAAGTATAAATGAATTATGACAGCTATGCACGCAAGGGTGAACAAGTTTGAATAGGAAACTTTCTGAGAAAAGATCACAGAAACTCAGCATTGCATAATCTGGATTTTTTTTAAGCAGGCTGATCTTGCTAACAATTGTCTAGCTAAGCAGGATGTTGCTGAAAATAAGGTGGTTTTTTTTTCCCATTTAATGTATATACACAGCCAATAAAACATTCACAGTCATTTGGGTAGAGTGAAAAGAATCACGGTGACTTCGACAGGACAAACAACACTGTTGGTTGGAAAGTTGACTTCTTTTGAACTTAATTAAAAAATCAAAACGGAATTTTAAAGACAGTAAGTATAACATCAACTCCTCTTTGTGTGACCTCTGTTTTTTTTAAGTATGTCATCAGCTACCCCTCCCTCAAATACTTTAAAACTTGGTCTAGTTTTAGGTCTAGTCAACTTAGTGTAAAAGTGTAGGCATCTTCCACAGGGGGGAGTGCTTGAACTACAGATGGGTTTGGAAACTAGAAAAAGGGGAAATGAAACCTCCAATTGCGCCATCAATAAATCACAAGCACTTGCTATGGAATTTCTCTTTTGAGTATCACCAGTTTTGTAGCTGTTTTGCCAAATTGCCAGATGTGGCTGTGGGGAGGCACTGGGCGTCATGGAGCAGCCCTCGGGGCTCGCGGGCGATGCTGCAGCTCAGGTTTATCGGCTCTCGGCGAGGAGAAACGTGAGAAATTGGTGAGAACTTGGCTCGCCCGAGTTGTGCTGAGCTAGTTTCGACTTCAGTACACATCAAGAAAATTACTAATGTGTGACTGCTCAAAGGAGCAGCCTGTGCAAGTCAGAAAACAAGGAATCCTGCGTTTTATTCCTAGTCTGTGTCTATGTAGATAGGTGAATAGTTGAGAATTTGAACGCACCCCTGACCCCCGTGTGACTGATGTTCTTCACTTTGCTGCTTTTCTATGGATTTTAAAGGCTATTGGGGAACAAACAGTATTACTCTCTGATGCATAAATTCCATCTCGCTTCCTTCAGGTGGCATTAAAATGGCCAGTGAATGGCCACCACTTCCACTGGGGCCACCAAGCGTTTTAAACTAAGTAATTTTAGTTCTTTCCACAGTGCTTTTTTTTTTTTTTTAATCAAAATTTCCTTCTAAAACTACCTAAATTTAGCTTAATGAATTATTGTTTCCTGCAATTCCTTGTTTGTGCAAGATCTACAGGCTTTCTCTCTTTTGTACAGAGAGATGATGAAATTCTGATATGTCTTATGTAAACTGAAGAGGTAAATCATGCCTTCTTTTGAGAGACTGACATGGGTTATAAAAACTAGACTTTAATAACTGATCTGAGAAGGTGAGGAAACTGAAAGTATTTGGTCTAAAAAAATGTAAATCTGGCAGTAAATGTAAAGTATTTCATTAATTAAATCATTTCATTAATGTAAAGTATTTCATTAAAAAAAAAGATATTTGCACACCAAGTATTTTTGAGTCCGCCTCTTGACCTCCCTAGTTGACTGAACATTTCAGAAATGTCAATGAAAAGCTGCAAAATGATCAAAAATATTTTGCAGTTTACCTGCAGATCTTCCCAGATGCAATTTTATATATATATATATATACATATATATATATATACACACACACACACACATATATAAATATAGCCTCAATCACTGTAATACTTGTGGATGAAGGGGATGTGTGGAAAGACTGAAGGGTACAGGAGAGCTTGATGTAGGGAGAAGGGAGAGGGCAAAGAAGACCAGATACCCTGGACCCTTTGGGCCAGCTGCTGTAACGGTGCAAAGGAGGAGTTAAAACATTTCAACACCTTGTGCAAAGATAACAGGGATCACATGAAAAACACACATTTTGTTCATGATAATTGCAGCTCTCTTTTCACCAGGAGAATCGAGCAGGGCACAACATGAATAGCAAAGGGTTTAGCTCTTTGTAGGCTCTGACTGCTTGCAGTGAGGGTGCAAGGAAGGCCTCTGTGCCTTGGCACGTGGCCCAGCACCCAGTGCTGCACAAACTGGCCCACTGGCCCATGAGGCAGCTAAAGGCAACTTCCATTTTGATCCAGAGGCTGTGTAAACTAGAAATTCTAGGGCACAATATTCTGTTTTAATCCACATCACTGGGCCACTTGCCCCAGGGCCAACCTTTGTATGTCACATCCTGGT